CCGTCCCTCATAAAAAATGAGTTTGACCCCCCTGCCATAGAGTCCACCCTCCAAAGCAGGTATTTTCTCCAAGGGAACTGATCTCTCTTTCCGCCTGGAGGTTGGCAACATAACAACATATGAGCCCTGCTGGATCAGACCAGTGAGGGTCCATCCAGTCCAGCATCCTGTCTCACACTTTGGCCAACCAGTTCCTCTGGAGGGCCAGCAACAGGGCAGAGAGGATGAGGCCTTCCCCTGAGAAGAACACCAGAAGAGCCCTGCTGGATCAGACCAGTGGGGGTTCATCTAGTCCAGCCTCCTGTCTCACACAATGGGCAAACAGTTCCTCTGGAGACCCAAAAATGGGGCATGGAGGCCAAGGCCTTCCCCTGTTAAGAACCTAAGAAAAGCCCTGCTGGGTCAGACCATGGAGGGTCCATCTGGTCCAGCATCCTGTCTCACATAGCAGCCAACCAGTTCCTCTGGAGGTCCAACAACACGGCAGGGAGGCCGAGGCCTTCCCCTGATGTTGTTTCTTGGCTCTGGGATGCAGAGGATTGACGCCTCTGAATGTGGAGGTTCTCATCAGTCACCATGGCTAGTAGCAGGGTTGCCAGATCCCCAGCAGAGTGGGGGTTTGCCCGCTTTGGGCCCCTGATCCACCGGCCTGGATCCGGCTGGCAGGGGAACCCCACCCCCAAAGTGCCTGGATCAGGCATGTCGCCAGGGGGACTGATGAGAACCTTAGCATTTGGCCTGAAAACTCTATGGTCTCGTAGAGTTTCTAGCTGAATGCTAGAGCGCCCCCCTGGCAATGTGCCAGGCACAATGGCGTCACTTCCGGGAGAGGAGCTTCTTCCCCCTCTGGCAAAAGGTAGGGACCCGGCCACCTAGCTAGTAGCCGCTGATAAACCTCTCCTCCACGGATCCTCCACGGATCTGTCTCATCCCCTTTGAAAGCTGTCTATTCCTGTGGCCATCACTACATCCTCGGGCAGCCGGTTCCACCGTTGAATCACTCTCTGTATGAAATATTATTTCCTTTTGTCTCTCCTGAACCTACAGCCCATCAGCTGCATTGCATGCCCCGATGCTGTGGGCAGCCCCCCCCCCCAGTGCTGGGAGAGGAGTAGCC